TTCAACTGACCACCTGTCCACCTGAGTGTGTGTGTGTGTGTGTGTGTGGGTGTGTATGCTGGTGTGTGAGAGAGTGATCGGTGCTCAAAGTCTGCTAATGAAGTGCTTTTGAGAAATGGTAGCTGAATAGCAGTGCCTACACTCACAGATGTGAAACTTAATGAGAAAGAGTGTGCTACATTCTGGTTACAGGCAAGGCAGAATATGGCCACCTGGAATGTAAAACTTTTGGAGGGGGTGGCTGTCTGTATGAGCAGCAATTACTCAGTCCTATGCATGGACAAGATGAACAATAATTTATTCATTAACGAAAAATATTGTTTGTCCTTTTGCAATTAAAAGAAATTGAGTTTTCATTGTCTTTATAAAGGGTGGTGTGGAAATTACTGAAGGTTTATTTCAATGGTTTTGTTTCTAACATGAAAGAGAAAACCTGGTTTCTGGATTTACATTAGTAAATTAATCAGCAGCTAATCTAATAAGAAGGTGATTTTAGAGCTAAACCCTTACACTGAGCCTTGTTTCCCCTATTTTAATTAACAAAAGGCTTTAAATGGGAATCTTAGGAAGCCAGCTGCCTGCTTTGAGGCATTTCAACAGCTCATCCCTTCCTGAGACCTGCTTAGCATTAGTCTCTTTGCAGGGAACCCCACTGCTAGTCAGGCACCATGGGCTTGTTCTTAATAGCACGCCTCCACCTAAGGTGACAAAGTAGCACAGTTTAGGCCTGTGGATAAAACTCATTAGTTTCTGGATTAGACCAAGCACTCTCATCCTACATTGTACTTCTTGGCACCGTTAATTATGCATTTAGCACTTTACCCCTTTTATTCAAGATGGATATGCTTTTTTTTCTCACCTGCGACTTTTGGGGCTTTACACACTCTGTTTCTTTCTTTTTTTTTTATATATAAATGATTACTCAGCAGGGCGCATGGTCAACCAACTGTGAGATGGGAGCAAGACTGAAGGAGGAGAATGGGGGGGGGAAACTTGTGAGGTCAAATCAGACAGGTCTACATGGAGGAGTAAAAGTGTTGAAAGGAAGATAAGAGATTATATTCTGATCAGAGCATTGGAAAACTATGCATAGCTCTTTTTTTATTGTATTTTTTTTTTTAGTTTGTCATGTTATAACACTAATTTTAAATTCATTGTAGTGGGATATGAATAGTAGCGTGATATATTGATGCAAAATTATGCATAATTGTGGTAGGTTGTGGTATAACATGGGCTAGTCTACCTAAGACCATTTTAAATGACTAACAGATCTTGCAAGAGTGGATAATGAGCTTGTCAGTGATGCAAAACTTGTGGAAATCAAAAAAAGAATTGAAGAAAATATAAAAAACAATTAAATCAGATCTTGAAGTCAGAGTGGAAAAAAGTTTTCGACCTAAGGAAAACCAGTTGATAGCATTGATTGAGTCATTGACTGGCTAGACACACTCTTCCAGAATGAGCATATGGTGACAGTAGATAATAAATCGCATTTTGTTTTTGACCACTACAGCAATGTATGCAGTGACAGTGGACCGGAAATGTTCTTTTTTGACAGGAAGAAACATCAAGCAGTAAACTGGTCTTTTTTCAAGAGGTCTTCTGCAAAGGCTGACTGGGGTTCCAAGGAGAAACATATAAAAGGAAAATATAAGCTCTGAGCCAGTTTTAATGGCAAAGGGATTAAAGAGAGTGCTTACAGTTATCATTGGCTAACTGTGTTTCCTTTTCCATGAAATAGTTTCCCCTCAGAGTTGAGGAGTGATTCTTGCATCTCCTCCTCCAGGTTAAAAGTAGTAATGCATACTCCTTCATTGCAGTCAGTTGCTGTCTCTTCTTGACCCACCACATCATCAGTGTCATTATGTATAGCATAGGCTAAGCAGTTAGCTAAGCCAAGATGAAGCTATTATGATGAAAAACCATAGAGAACAAAAACTTAGGGACTGAACTAACAAATACTGCACAATAGGAAAATAAATATGGAATGAAGCAGAATGATAAAAAGTGGTCCTTATGTCCTCCAGCAGCCTAAGCCTATATCAGCAAAACTAAAGAGACAGCTGAGGAAAACCTGCCTACTATTTAATCCATTTGAACTTGATCAAGAAAATGCAGCCCAGGCCGCAGACTGGCCGCAGCAGCAAGCTCCCAGCGGGGATTTCCAGCACTGCCTCCCAGTGGTATGCTGGATGTCTGGAGCTCCAAACAAGTGTTGCATATTTTAGCAGGATCATAATCCTGATGAAGCGACTGCACATATGATATTTCTCACTTAAAGATGTGTCAGAAATTTTTTTCCAACTCATCAAATCATATAAAGCCAAGCCGGTCTTTAGCTTGTAGCTACAGAATAGAGCAGATAAACAACCAGAGTGCAAAGCGTCAAAGGGGTCAAAACAACTTGACCACAGTTGACCATCCACGTTTGGCGTTTAAGCGTTTTTGACACCCAAAAATTCTTCGGTGTGAATGCAGGTTTAGCATGTGTATGCTCATGGTGTGTTAAAAGACTGCTCGGAAAAAGAAATTACTTCACATTAATAAAGGGTTATATGTTGTAACGGTTAAATGAGAGCAATTTGTTGCCACATTTTGTTTACAAAATCCTAGTAAAAAGCATGGCTTGCTTAAAATAGGCAACGTGATTGGTCAACAACACAACAACACACACTTGCTCAGTGTTGTGTATTGTCTTTTAGGCAACCTGCCAACGTTGCAGGTAGATGGACAGTTTTCAAAATTGTGCATAGGTACACAAGTAATGGTTTTCTGTTAATAAATTCTCCTACCTGAGCTGTCTATATCTCCTCTATAGTTTCTATGGTCTGAACAAACATTTACACACGTAGTGAGATGTCTTCAGTGATTTTCTTTTCTGTACAGTTATTCAGTGCAACATAAAATCTTAGTTTACTATCACTTAGTCAACTCAAGAACTATGATGTATTTTTCATATAAGAGACTTAAGCATAGATACTCATGCGTTCATTGTTTGAATATAGCTTCAACTTGCTTCAAAAGATTCTGTCACGTGTCGAATGCAGCTGGAAGACTCTTAATGAGACAGGCCTCAATATAACAAAAAATATTGTAGCAGGTTTCATTTTACGCTCCATGATCTCATTGCTCTCCTTATTTAGAGTTTTATGATTTGTTTTCATTTAGGAAAAAATAATTAATCCAATTTCTTAGATGGTTTCCCAAACTTTAACTACTTTCTCAAACAGTTTCACATTTATTTTTGGGAAATAGATGTAGTTATACCTTGCAGGTTTCTTAAAACCTTTAATTTCTTACTCATCTTTTGTGACGATGATGACAATTGTTATCCTTGGGAGAAAAAAAAATCTGAGTAAGAGATGAAATACATCTAGAGATGAGAAAATGCTAAAGCCTAAAAAAATTGTGAAATTAATAAGGCAAGTTCTTTTTTTTTCATGCCAAGAAAGCGGAAACTTAGTTAGCCAACTAATCAGAGTTTGCCTGCATTTCAATGAAATGTTAACAGAAATCATACACAGTGAGATTGACATAAAAGTAACATGAAAGCTGTCAGAGACATCATAAAATAGACTTTGATGAAATCAAGTTAAAACATAGAACACTTAAACTCGCACAGCTCTTTGATCTACTTCTTTGTCAGAAAAAGTTAGAATCCCAGTGGTGATGGGAAATGTGAAGGAAAAGGGTGAGCAGATAACATGGAGGAGAGCAGGATTGCTGAGGAATAACTTTGCCTTCTGTCAAACTGGTTTCCCGCGCTGATTTTCAATGTCAGCTGTACTAGCCGACAACTCTCTCTAGACATGCTGACATAACGCCATACTGATCAGCTCCATTATGGTGAATTTCTGCTCTCAAAGTGAACTGAAACTGTCTCTCAGAAGTTAGTCGTTCAGAGTCAACTTTTAGCTTGTCCTGACTTTTTCTGTCTTTGTATGAACAATCAATATGTCAGACACTTGTGGAATAAAGCAGCTACTGAAGCAGTTGTCTGGACATTTTACACTCCTTTGCACCCCCGGGCTGCACACTTGGATGCATAGTAATACCATATTATGATGGGATGCTCTCTGCAGCACAGTGTAAACAAGCTGGCTCTTATACAAGAAAGAATACCACTAGAATATAATGACTATACAACATAAACAGAACCTTAAAAAATACCAGGGTATTTGTCATTTTAATAAATTTTATTTGTTATCTATATATATATATATATACACACTGTAGAGAGAAGAAATTGTAGAAAGATTGAAAAAGCCAAGTAGGGAACGGCAAACCTTTGAAAAAGAATGTCCTGCTCAGATGAGTAACAATAAAAGTTTATGCTTACATTAACGTTATGTAAATTGGACTGTTGGGATGTAGAAAATGTTAAGAAGCGGGTGTAAAAACATTTGCATTCCTCTATAGCAGGGGTCACCAACCACATTGTGTGCCCTCAGTCTTCTGAAAATAGAAGTTTGAAATTGTATTTTATTCTGTTGCTCTTCTTTTTTTAATCATTTATAGAGCATTTCAAAATAAAAATGTCAAAACTAAAAGAAACAATAAAATGTGTTGATAATGTACGAAGTTCAGGTGAATGCTGACCCTTACAGTCCATAGGGTCTGTATTGGTAGCCCTTCCTATAACTCTTTACCCTTGAAGTACCCTTGAAGGGGCCCTCAGCCTTAAAATGTTTGGAGACCCCTGCTTTATAGTTTCCATGTTTATTAAGGAACCCTCTTTTGCCTGTGTTTGCCATTAGCTTATAATCTAAATGTTTTAAATTTGGTAGAAGTCAGTGCTTAGTGATTTGCTTGACCTTTACAAATGACTCCTGGCTGGCTGACCTTAAGATGGACCCATTTATCAGACCTCATCTCATAAAGTTAAAGAAAGGAGATTTATTGTTTGTTTTGTTATTTATAAGAGTGATGTAGATTTTGCAGTTATCTTTTTCCCTTTTTTTTATCCCTCTGTACTGTATCTTTTTCTCTTTCTCTTGCAGGTGGAGCGAGAAATAGCTATTTTGAAGCTCATAGAACACCCACACGTTTTAAAGCTACATGATGTCTATGAAAATAAAAAATACTTGTAAGTATGAACTATTGATGGTCCAGTTTCATACATGGCATCTGCAAGTGATTTTGATATGAATGGTATCTTTTCAAGCTATTGAATATTTTTTATACAAAAAATGTCTATTAGGATTTTGTACAGGGTTTCATCACAATTAGGACAAATCTAGCAAACTATGGAGTTTTAAGTATTTTCCTTGTCCCCATTGGAATGACAAATAGAAATAAAATAGTTCTGTAAATAAAGTAATCAGACTTAAATCTAGCTGTTCCTGCATCCTTCCCTCCATCATCCTTATGTTCATCTATCCATCCACCATTTATCAATTTTTTGTCCACCCAGGCAGCCTTCCATGTTTCTGTCTTTTTGATATTCCCTTTTATTCAAATCTGTGTTTACAGGTTCCTTATTTGAATCCTGACCTCTATTACAATGTCTATGCACTCACTCTTCCTGGCATCTGTCTATCATCCATTCAGATGTCCAACCATCTATCCATTTTTCCTTTTTCCCTCTGTCTTGCAGTCTTTTGTGTTACGCTTTACTGTCCACGCTTAACTGTCTGCTGTTAAACCTATATGTATCAAGCTTATACTTAAAAAATGAGCTAAATATCAATCTTGTCTTTAAATCTCAGTCTGATAAAATGAATAAGCTTGACATACGCTTCAAAGTGTCTCTGTGTACATCCTATTCACTGTTAAAGGTATTACTCTCAGGTGGTCTTTAGGAAACGGTGATTTTAATGCAGCAGATCATCTTATGATTGCAGGGCAACTGGGACTGCCTTCGAGGGTCTGGATGCTCCATTAGTACTAGCATTGAGCATTTATTTGGTCATGCACACCAGGGGACTGTTAATAGCAAGGGGGGAAGTCTCTGTAACACAAACCCCATGATGTGCTTATCAGTGCCAAAACCACTGCATTAAGAAACATTAGCTATGCAGAGTTGGCTGCAGCAGCTGTGTTTACATACTGATGCTCAATATATTAACTAAGTTTAACAGCGGTGAGTGACAGGCCATCCGTTTTCTAGTAGACCTCCTGATCTACAGAGGATTGCCTGTCAACTAAATCCGTTTACTCTTTATCTTCAACTTATTGGCCATGTAAGTTATTGGGCGTGCAGAATAGTGCCTGTCATCCTTTTTAAATGATATAGAAAGCAGAAAATTAGAATTCAAGACCAGTAACTGGATTATTAAAATCACATCTTGTGCCCATTGCTTCATCACTTTTGACAGACGGTCACTAGTTACATCACAGAAGACAAATTGCTTTAAATGTTATTAATATGCGGGACTGGAACGCATAAACTCGTATCACTAACGGGATTTTCCTCCTCACACGGTTCAGATTCCGGTCCAGATATCACCACTTGAAAGCCGTTAATTGATAGGCATATAGCATGTTTGGTTTTAGCACTCCCAGAGCTTAAAAGATTTATTATATTTACTGGCACATATCCTGCAACGAGTTGTTAAAACTAATGTGGTGTTTATGTATATGAGAGGTGGAGAGAATTTGATACCTTGCTCACCAATAACTTATTTATAGGCTGAATGAATAAACAGATTATGATACAGACATAAATTATGCTTTTAAGAGTGAAAATGCTCGCAAGTCGGACTGCAGCACATATACAGGATTTGTGTGCGTCACCTTAAGTTTATTCTAGTTTTGGTTCTGTTGAGATTGCGTGACAAAATTTTGGCTTCATGTTGACTTTATTTTGTTAATTAAAAACATTTAAAAATTCCAGATTTTTGTGTAGAGTACTCGTCTTTTTATATTTTTTAGGTAAACACAAAGATGTTAAAATTATCCAAACTGAATCTGGTATGTTGGATGATAGCTGCAAATTGAATGTCGCCTTCCTTTTTTTATTTTGATAGTACAGCTTTGTTGCCTCAGAAAATTTTCTTATTAAAAATGTCTCTCTTTAGTCACATAGAACCAATATATGTATTTAGTTCTATTTCTAAGGAGATTTAAGAAAAAAAAAAATTAGGGTATACTAATAGTAAAATGCTGTTTACTGCGATTGTAATTAAAAGCTTTAAGAAAAGTTTAGCTCGTTTAGTTTGGCCTAGATTAGTTTTCAAACTATGGTGGCTTCAGGGCTGCATATGAGTTTTGATCAATAGATAGTTTTTTTTTTGCACCTCCTAAACATAAAGACTTTTGCTGACAAAAATTTAGATCTTGTCTAAAATGAAGCTTTCCAGGATAGAGATTTAAAAAAAATTAAGTATGTTTTTATTCCGTTAACTCGATATGGAAATGATTAAAGGCTAAAGTGGATGTATCAAACAATAAACTTATTTTGATCTCAATAATGTTGATGCCTCAAAAAAAATATGTTAATGTTTTTTTCTAAATTTGAAAGACTGTTGATGGACTGGGCAACATGTTTCCACTCTTCAGAGAGGATGTAAACAGGATAACAACTTGCAACTAACCCCTATTAAATACTATTCCATATTGGATACCGGTCTATAAAGTTCAAGGCTTAATTATTTAGTTCTGTGTTTCAAGAAATCGGTTCAAGGTAGTTGGAGCCGTTTGTATGAACATTGAAGTGATCAAGAGGCCTGATTCAATGTATATTTGTTTTGATGCATATTGCACATTTCTGTTAATGCAATTAACCTAATTTCCCTACTGAAATGGTACTATCCACCAGTTGCAGTATATGACACATAGTAAACACTATGTGTCATATAAAAATAGCCAAATATTTAAAAATAAATATATTTAGTGATATGGGGTACCCTAACCTTCTCATGTGACCATATATTGAAAACAGACACAATCTATTAATCAATGAGGATTTGATCATTTGCAAAGGCAATTAATGTATCCTGATGGTTGCATGGGAACAAATTGCATTGTTTTATTGTATTTCAATTTCTGTTTAAATTAGAGCTAAAACAATTAATCAGATTAATCATGATTCATCGATTATTAAGATAATCATCAACTAATTTAGTAATTGATTAATCGTTAACTGGAGTATAGAGACTTTAAAACATGCCTTTAGCTGACAGAGCGACCCATTTAGAGCAGTTATTGTAACAAAATTGTAAAAAAAAAAAAAAAAAAAATTAACATTTTGCATTTAAGAAAAAAAACATATTCAACTGTCAATATGCTTTAGTTTCACCTGCTGTTAAAAAAAAATGCTTCTTTAGGGAATCTTTGGCTATCGACTATTAATCGTTGAATCGAAAAAATTATCAACAGATTAATCGATTTGCAAAATAATAATTTATTGCAGCCCTAGTTTTGATTAACATTGTCAAAAGTAAATGTCATACAGTAAGTTCCACAGGAATCACTCCTGCCAGACCTTGGCTTTGGAGAGACCATGTTCTATAGCCAATGCAGTCTGCTGCAGCATATGGTAATCTGTAAAACTGAAATGATGGATGTGCATTTGGTATTTTGTCAAGATGATTGCTGCTACAAAAAAAAAAGGAAAAGAAAAGGAGTTTAACCTTTTTGGATTCCAACCTGTACTTGTTATGGATAAAAGTACTTTAGGTACAAGAAATATGAGCAGAGCAGAACCAGAGGCCAGCTGGATTTCAACCCGGATATATAGCTTTGTTCTCAGGTCAGTGGAGATATATCTCCCTCCTGTCCCCTTGGTGCTGCAGAACATGGCTGAGCTATATATTCAGGATGACAGACTGGCTCTGTAAAAGCCCGACCACACAGACTAAAAGACTACAGTACCTCATCAGCAACTGTATGAAAAAAAAAGTGGCGGGGGCATGTATCCTTGTTAATGTAAAATATGATGACACCACTATTTATGTAGCAAAAGTCAAAGCATGAGAATTACACATATTTGGAAAATAGTGCTACTGAAAAGTTATGTTGCATCAGATTTGAATACTTTTTGAGGTTTTCAGTTTTATTTATTTTTTGCAGCTCTTTCAACGGAATTTAAAATAAAAGTGTTTATAACTTGAGTTTCTCTTTCTGGCTTTCTGGAACTATGTTTTTGACTTTGGTTTCTTTCTTAATTTTCTTGTTTTTCTCAGGTACCTTGTGCTAGAACATGTATCTGGTGGTGAACTGTTTGACTACTTGGTGAAGAAGGGCAGATTAACACCAAAAGAGGCCAGAAAATTCTTCAGACAAATCATGTCTGCCCTGGATTTTTGCCACAGTCATTCAATATGGTAAGTGCTTCAATCTTTGTATCTGAGGGAATGCACAGCAGCGCAGCATAAATAGTTCGCTAGAATTGTTGAAATTATACAGAACTTCAGATTTTTCAGGTTACAACAACATTCTTCACTGTGATTCAAAATAGATGTCTGAGCCAAATTATTAGAATCGTCTTAAAGTGGAGGAGAAGCGCTTCTACTCAGATTCTCTCCCAGACGGCCAACAACCTTAACCCATCTATAAGGAGGTTGCCAGCCACCCTGCGGAGGAAGCTCATCTCAGTATCTGTATCTGGGAACTAATTCTTTTGGTCATGACCATAGTTGAAAGTAGGAACGTGGACCAACTGATGAATTGAGAGCTTTGGCTTTGCTCTCTCATCACCAAAGTACCGTGCAGCATCCCCATCAAATATCAAAGCCCTCTTTATGTCCACAAAGTACTTGCGGACCCCTTTAGGCTATATACCCTCTTCAGGGCATACAGTAGATACAGTATTTTGCATCTGGGCAAAATTCAACATATCTTTAGATACCAAAAATAATCTAGCTGAATGTATTAAGTCTTCTTTAGTCCTTTCAAAAAGGTTAAAAAAACATCCACATGTTGGAAAACATTTCGCTTCCCATCCAGGAAGCTTTTTCTTTCAAAATGTCAGAAAGAGTGTCTAGTTCGAGGCTTTATAGAGTAGACCAAAAACAAAACCTTGTTTTGACTTAGAAAACATGCAAATCGAATCGGACGAACGGGTCCGCAACTTAGGAATGGGCGGTCGTTTGGGTTCTTTGTTAGCCTGCAATACCGAAGCCTGTCTATGTCTCTGAAAGGGGGGGGTTGTTAGAGGGAATTGTTGGCCCGGCTGAAACAGGCAAGGTGTTTTGTTCCCCTTTATAGGGATTGGGGTTGCAATGATGGCGGGAAGGAATCAAGTCTATCGCTGCATTGTTGGTTTTTGAAAGCTGAAATCTGAGTCCGACCCATCTGTTTTGTCCACCCCTTCTTTTTAGTCTTTTGTTACTTTGGAGGAGTTGCAGAGATCCACAACTCAGCTAATCTGTTAATTCAATTCAAATGGTAAAGGCTAACTAATACTACTTATATAGCACCTTTCTAAGTGCAGAGACCTGACCAAAGTGCTTTACACAACATTCATCCACACTCACACACAGATGGTGGTAAGCTACATTGTAGCCACAGCTGCCCTGGGGAAGCAAGGCTGCCGTACAAAGGCGCCTCTGGGCCCTCTGACTACCATCAGAAGGCAATGCAGGTGAAATATCTTGCCCAAGGACACAATAACACTGGGGCTTGAACCAAGAGCCCTTCGGTTGCAGGGCAAACTCCTTCATTCAGAGGCAGTCATCCTAATTCATTACAGAAATGCTTTATTACTCACAAAGGGAAATTAAATGCTGTAGTAAGTCATTAGTTTTCTGTTTTGTTTGTTTTATTTTTTTTTTTTCATGAAGTTGTTGTTGTTGTTGTTGTTGTTGAATGCAGGAAGAAAGCCCTTATTGAAGCCCTGATTGCTGCAATTCATATGGGAAAAAAACTGCAAATAAAGAACGATGTACTTTGTTTGCATGAGAACTATATATATATACCGTATATATATATATATATATATATATATATATATATATATATATATATATATATATATATATATATATAATTTTTTTTCTTTAATTTTTTTTAATCTTTTTTGTCTTGCATGCAAAACCCCTTTTTGCAGAACAATTTCATATCACTCTGAACACCCCTCGAAGGACCTTTGTGGAGGCTGCAACAGCAGCATCATGCTAAGGGATCACTATTTTAATCACTGATAGAAAAGCTGGTCAGATTTGGTATAAAGATGGATTTTGATAAGTGCAGGGTCAGTCTATAAGAAAATAACTTAGATGTTTTTCAATGCATGAAACTGGGATCAAGGTACAACCTAAAGCACAAAAACAACCCTTAAAATACATACAAAACTAGCAGAGTTGTTTAGAACATGCTATATTCATGTGCTACAGTATATCTTTGGTAAACTACAGAACCATTTAAATCTGTGAGAAATTTTAAAGATCGATGTACAAAGATGGCCTTTAGCAAAGCTGGGGTTTTACCCAAAGGAAAATGGACTCAAGTGATTTCAGGAATTCATTCTGCAAAGACACAGATTTTTCCTGAAGCGAATTTGCATTCCATTCGTTTGGAAATACTGTAAACTATTAAAACTTGTGATTTCATCAATTTAATTTCCCTTTGGCTTCCACAAGTGTTGATGTGTGAATTAAAATAGAAAATAAGCATCAAGAAAACCTCTTTGTAAGGTACCAATAAACATGTCTCTAGAAGTGAAATACTCACACTCCTCGATGTCAGAAAACGGAACACATTCCTTTTTATTGAGCAGATTAATATAAGCGGACTGCTTAGATATGAACTCTTAATTATTGTTTTATAGCTGAGGAATCTCTTTAGATGTTTTCCTTCTGCGTTCTAATGTACTTTGTTGTTTTTGTTCTAATCTGACACCCAGTGTTCAGCCTCAGGGGGCAATTTAAATGTTTACTACTTAGTATACCAGAGGCAATCATACATACTTCAAAAATAAAAAAATTCGGTAGGGAGTGAATTAGTGAGTCGTGCCAGTCTATTTTTTTTTATTATTTTTTTGAATGAATATGTGTACAATGTATTTATGATCAAGTCTTTGTTGGAGGACAAATGTTATAACTCCTTAACTCAGTAAATAAGGAACAGAAACATGATTTACTGGAACAAGGTGGAGAAATTTAAGAATGAAAAGATAAAAAAATACATAATTAAAGTGCATAAAGAGAACTAATTGATTTTCTGCTCTACTAAAAATAGCTATATGCTATATAATTCAATTTTTTTATGCAAATTAAACATTGTGCTATGCTTTTTTTTAAAGTACTGACTGACAAAAGCTGCCAAATTAAAGCTGAAGTCTGTAAGTTTTTAAAAATAACTTTTTTGTCATATTGGCTAAAACTGTCCCTATGCCCAGACAGCAGTACATGTGATATGTAACCTGTGAAAAAAACTGCTTCAATTGGTCCCGCCTACTGCCTGTATTTCAATCTGGAAAGAATAATTCGGGACGAGTCAAAACAACCAATCACAGCCAGAGGAGCGTCTTATGGAGTGTCAATCACAGCTCACACACGCTGAATCCCGCCCCCCTCCCTCTCACCGCTGAACCTACCGCGCAGATGCTGTGAGAGGGGTGGAGCTTGGAGGTGGGGCATGAGTGAAGCAGAGAGGGTGGGGGAGTGGCGTGAAACCTGTTTTTCTTCAAATTTTCAGTCGAAGTCTGCTCTCTTCTCAATGTTACAGACTGCAGCTTTAAGGATAGTTTATAAAGTGCTTCTAAAAGTGTTATAATCCCAGAGTTAAGACTGGGATAAATAATTTTTTTTTTTAAGAAAATACCAAATTTTTACTGTTAACTGCTTGTCAATTTGCTAACAAAAGTAACTTTTTTCCACCCTTAGACAGATTACACTGTTGATAAATAGTATTTTTTTCATGTACTGTAAAATAATTGCTACAGAGATTAACTTTAATAATCAACATCACATTGTATGTGTATATATATATATATATAATATATATATATATATATATTTTTTTTTTTAGCAAAGGTAAATAGAAATGCAAGCTATAAAACCAAATTGTAAAGTTTAGTGAAATCTATTAATTTGTACTAATTTGAATAACGTGTACACTTTAAAGGTACGTATAGTGGAGGATGTTCTTTTTCCGGGTGGATCATTAAAATAACTGATCGTGCTAATTGTCAATCATTCTGTTGATATGTTTATGTAAGGCTGTCTTATGTGCTCATATGCATTTTCACCAAGCGGTGGTGAGTCTGACATAGTGGAAAAATGATAAATCTTCTTTTGGAAAGTAAGCTTGTATGAGCGATGGAAACAATAACTTTTAAAAAGAGTGTGCATTAGGAGAAATGGGCTTGTACAGTACATGCTCTCGCTCACGTTTGATAGTAGTACCCTCTTGGGAGCGGGTACAGGGTTGTGCATGTGATTTTTTATTTTTTTTTTTAAGTGGAGAGGGCGGGTCATTTAAAAAATTCATGAAAATCCTCTACTATACCTTTATTAATGTCAGTATCTTTCAATGGTATTCTACATTTTCCTTTTTCGACCTTTATGTAATATGTGTTTAGATACATGCCTGGTGTTCCCAAGGATCCCTTAGGACATTTAATGCTTTTTACATAATGAGATATCTTTTATATGGTAATCTCAATGTTGCAATGGTAATCTGACTGTTGAAAAGTATGAAGTAGATTTTAATGCAATGGAATATGGATCTCAGATGAAGGGACAAAACTTTTTTTTTTCTATGTATGTTGAAAGAAGAAGTTTGGCTTTCAGTCTGACTCCCTTATGTATATAAAGGAGTAAAGGACAGATCTACCTGCTTTCCTATTAAATCTTCAAAATTGATCAACCTGAAAAATTTGAGAGGATCATTAAAAAGAAACCTTTTTTAAAAGCTGAGATTAGTCACTCAACAAGAGGATGCACAAAATAGAGAATAATGTGAAGTTTTAACATTCTCTATCGTAGGAGACAGGACTCTCACTTTATATTGTGTAATAAAACCGGCCTGCTGATTCTGCAAAGTGCCGTTTGGACACTAAAAAGCTTTTAGGAAGAAGTAGCACACATGTTTTAGTGTTGCCGCAGAGGTGAATAGATTGGTTTTTGTTCAAAACCTTTCTCTTAGCTTTCCGGATTCTTCTGGTCAAGTGTGTTCTTTCATTCCTCTCAGACTATTTGTATCTATTATATTAAACATATTTAGGTAAGTTGAGTTAATAAGCGAGCATATCAATGCATAAAAAACTGTCTTCTTGCATCTTAAGTTGTTTGATACACAAGAATAAAACTGAATACCAAAGATGGCAGAAATAGTAAGCTTAATTTTAAGCCAAGGATAGTGAGAGATTCCTGTTTTTACT